TCCTCCGGATATTTTTCCTGTATTTCCGAATCGGCTTTTTCCTTCTGACAATCCTGGAGTTCGCTCCCTCGGATTTGTATCTTTTCCGAAACTATGGAAATCTCTTCGCAGCGACCGTTCAAATCGATGACGGCATACACGGAATTGGGTAAATCGCTCGCGACAACACCCAAATCGCAATCGTTTATAAATATTCGTAGCTTGGATTCGTTGTCAACTAAAATTTTTATCATCGTTCCAACGGAAAATATAAAATTTTTTATACCGTAACCTTCGCGAATCTGTAACAAAACAAAACAAAAATTTATTTAGAGAAAATAAGAACCAAAAACAAAATCTTGTTCTACTGTCGACCTGAGGCAGCTCGACGAGAACGTGAATTTCACTGCTTCTGACCCTGGCCACTCCAAAGATGTTAGTCACCGGAGCCCAGTTCAGGAGACAAATCGTTCCCATCGAATAAAGACGGACTCAGGAAGACCTTCAAGAATTGATGTGGTGCTATCTTATAATAAGTGGCACCACCGAAATTCGAGTATTTGTCCCTAAGGAATCGGGTAGAAACCTCGGATAAATACTTAAAAACTCCGACAAGTAGCCTTGTCGTGTTTAATGGTGAATAATAATAATAATAATAATAATAATAATAATAATATAAAATTTTTCTTCCATTCTAATGAACTCAAATCAATACCTGATACGGATGACCTTTTTGCAAAGGTTTCTGTGATATAACAACGGCTTGATTGTAACTCGCCACTCTTTTCGCTCCCAATTTTCTTTCTAATAATTTTATATTTCTACCGTGGTATTCACTTAATGCGAAATTAGTGTCGGCCGATTCATCCCCTTGACCTTGAACAACAACAACAAAACAAAAAACAGGGTGAAACATAAAGTTTATATAACTCCATTACATTCGAAAAGAAAATTTTTTTTTTTTTTTTTTTTTTTTTTTCTAATTACCTTGATTAATCGTGAGATTTGGATGAATGTCGTAGGACGACAAAGTACCCGTTTCACCTCCTCCGCCCGAATCATACCCGTACTCTCTGTTTGGTCGCCAAATAAAATAAACATTGAATTAGAAAGAATCTTTGTCGCTTGAGACAACAACATGAGAGGGGTTTTTATTATATTGTCTGAAAAAGGGGAAAATGGGGGAATAGAAGAAAGTTAAAAGCATCATGATAAAAAAAAAAAAATGAAATCCCGATTTGTAGATATAAACGCAAAAACGTTATCGCTCCCTTCCTTGGATTTTGGAAATGGTCGTCATTTTATTTTAATTGATGAGAGAGAAAAAAATCGACTTACAATTTCGATGATGTGGGAATGGCGTCTCCTAAAGTGTCAACGGAATCTTGCAATTTCGCCGATTGATTTGATGTCACCGATGAATCGTTTATGGATTGGAAAAGTCCTGAACGCTTCATGCTCGTGACTGAAATCTTCGTCGCAGATCCGAAAACATCCACAACAGCATAAATTTTCTGCAGAGAGAAAAAAAAAAGCCAGTGGGTATGCGAAATAAATTCGAAATAAGCTTTTGCTAGAAATCAATTGTTTTTCACCTTTGGTACGTTTGTTGCAGCAACTCCCAAATCATTTCCATCCAGAGTAAATTTTAAACATCCATCGTTCGTTCTTCGAACTCCCACCTGAAAATTAATAACGTTTCAATTAAGGAAAAAAAAATTCAACGGTCAAATTACGATCCTTAGCGTAGCCATTTTAATAACCTTGTGACCCGGAGTTAACCATTCCAAACTAGGACAATAATTCGTTTTGAGGGTGGAGTGGTTTTTTTTAACATCGCTCCCCGACAAATACCAAGTATCGTAAGAAATTCCAGACATGACGGGTGGTAGGTTGGCAGGTTGAAAAGAGTCGGACAAGGTGATCGTTGACACGCCGATTTGTAAAGATCCCGACCATTGTTTCGAAGTCTCCATTAAAGATACCTTTGAAAAGAATTTTTTGCGAGAAAAGTGTTGAATAAGTATGTCGTGAAAATTTCGTCGCATCCTTTTACACTCACCTCGAAATACTCGTCATTTTCTAATGGCTGAGCGCTGAACACCAAGCCATGAGCATAATTTTTGTTTCTGTAAGCCACAGTATTGCAATTTTCCAAAACTATATTCTTACCACTACACGTACTGAGACTGTTAGAAAAAAAGAAATTTAATACTTATTAGATCGTATCAACTCTAAAGTCTTACGAACGAGTTTCATCAACAACCAACTACCTGTGAATAACTTCTAGAGGAATTTGCGGGGCGTTCAACGCGTATTCGCTATTCACCATCGTATTAGCACAAGGATTAGAAACTTTTTCCGACGAATTAATTATGGAAACTTGAGCGCATTGACCGTACAAATCAATGACGCCATGAACACCGAGCGGTATGTTTTCGCATGCAGAACCTTGATCAACACCGTTTATGTAATAATGCAATGTTGCATCGCTATGCCTCATTAATCCTATTTTTTGAAAAAAAGAAAATATAAAAACATTTTTCAAAACTTAATTCCCGATAAAATTGCAGTAAACTTACCGATTCTGGTCCCGATAGGAAGCGTATCCAAATCGCATGGATAACCACTTTTAAGTGTCAAACCGTCTTTCATCACCGAAGAACCCGACAGCATCCACGTATTGTGATCCATGTCGGTTAAAGTGCTTGGAAAATCAAATTCATCGGGTCGAATCGATGTCACACCTGTAAGTTAAATAATAATGATGATATAACGTTTTTATCAGGAATAAAATTAAAACATCCAACAACAAAAAAAATTACCCGCTTCTATGCTTCCGCTCCATCGATCTACTAACGTTTCGATTTTTATTTCAAACATTTCATCTTCTTTTAACGGCCTATTCGTTATTACAATCGCATGGTTGAATTCTCCAAAAGTTCTGGTTCGAGCGGCAGTTAACCCATTATTAAAAACTCTTGCGTTTCTCCCGTGAACGTGATAAAATCTTAGATCCCTAAAAAAAAAAAAAAAAAAAAAAATATCAATTAAAATTTTAATGCCCGTGACAGCTCACGTGAAAAATTAATATATTATTATTAATTGATGTACCCGTAGAGGGTTGTGTTGGACACGCTTGAATTATCCGTATCTGGACTGTAATCTAAAACATCAATTAATGTGGCTTGTGCCGCCTGACCGTAAAGGTCGATAACTCCGTACACACAATCTGGAACATTTACGGCTGCTACACCTTGATCGACTCCATTAACGTAAAAATGAAGAGATCCATTTTCTTTTCTGGACGCGCCCACTCTATCACCAATCTTTAACACATTAAATTAAGCATTAAAGATGTCGAAATAAAAAAAAAAAATTATTTGACTAATATTTTTCCGAGGCTCATATGGAAAATAATTACTTTTAGCCTATCCAAATTATGACCGTATTCGTCGATGATTGTTGATCCGTTGTGCATGACGCCATTACCCGTCATCATCCACGTTCCCGATCTAACGTTTGTCATCGTTGTCGGATATTCTAAATCGTTTGGACTGTGCGTGGTGACACCGATTTCGATGGATCCTGCCCACTTCGTCACCATTTTGTCAAGCCTGATTTCAAATATTTCGTTTGGTTTTAACGGACGATTGGTAAGAGCCACTCCGTTATTGAAATCATCCATGGCACTAAAAATTAAATTATTTAATTTTTTTTTTTTCCTTGGAGTTTTTAATTTAACGTCAGAAAAAAAAAACTTACTTCGGTCTGTGAACTGTTTTACCGTTGTTTATAACTGCAGCATGAGTTCCGCATTTTGGATGAAATGCTAATCTATCACCTCCGTCTTCTTCTGCAAAATTGCAAGTTCTAAGGGATATTTGATAATCTCTAAGTTCTGTATTTCTCCTAGTCATTAAATTTTGTTCTTCTCTTTCATCTCTGTCTACAATTGTCACCTTGACAGTCATACCTACAATAGAAATATGCGAACCTAATTTTTAACAAAAATAGAATTAAAACAAAAAAAAAATTTAATTCAAGATAATTTTTATACCATAAAGATCAACAACACCCCATACGAGTTCAGGTACTTTTTCAGCAGCAACATCTTGGTCTAAACCGTTAATAAAATAATGAAGATTCCCATTACTTTTTCTCATCATAGCTATTCTATCACCTTCCTAAATAATAAAAATTTGCATAAAAAAGCCACACTTTCATCATTAAAAGTGAAGAACGTAATTGAATTGCGTACCTGTAATTCATCTAAATTAAATTCTCCATATTCTCTTCTTGTACCTTTTCCATTTGTTAAAATCCCACAACCGGACATTATTGTAGTGCCTGATCTCATATTAGTCATTGTCGCAGGAAATTCTAACTTATTTGGATTGTGTGTGGTAACTCCGACTTCAATACTACCAGACCATTTATCTACCAATCTATCGATTCGAATCTGGAAAATGGACAGAAATTATTTTTCGAGAATTAAAATTTACACCTTAATTACAGCAAATTATAATGTATTTATTTTACAAGAGTTTTACCTCAAACAATTCATCATTTTTGAGTGGTCTATGTGTCATTACGACTCCGTTATTAAATTCATCTAATGGTTTAAGTCTTTCCGCAGTCCTTGCATTGCAACTTAGTTTGACTAGCATACCATGTCTAGCATGAAATCGTAAACGATCTCCTAATATTGGTTTACCTTGCATATCAGTCTGTGGAATGTTAACATTTAATGTAAGATTGTTCATGAGATCTGCAGTTTGACTTTCATCTTGCCTTTCAGAAATTGCATAATCTATTGCCACTGAAATAGAAAAAAATAAAAAATTAAACCTGTTAATTGATATGACAATCATAATAATATTATTTACAACCAGGCACTTTGATATTGTAACCAAAAAATATATAAAAATTACTCACTTTCAGAAGAGGGTAAAGAAGGAATAATGGAAACCTGAGCACATCTTCCATACAAGTCGACAATAGCATAGACTTTTTCAGGTATATTTCTGGCTGCAACACCTTGTGACTCACCATTGATAAAAAATTTTAGTTCCCCCTAAAATATTAATTTTTAAATTATGCAAAATTTTATTTAACTAAGCATTATGTATTTAAGATATAAATGTATAAATAATTTACTTTATCAGTTCTCATAACTCCAACAACATCTCCTTCGCTCAATTTCTCAAGGTCTGTTCCGTAAGCTTCATCTCCGGAACTTTTGCCATCTTGAAGAATAGAAGTTCCCGACAAGATCCAGCAATTTTGTTTTAATTCAGTAGCACTTGCTGGCAATTCCAAGTTGTCTGGATTGCATGAAATCACACCTATTTCGATTGAGCCGCTCCATGAATTAATCTTAAAATAAAATTTTTTAAATAATAGTTCAAAGTTTTTTTAGAATTACAAAAGGTAAGGAAAACAAATATTTAATTTTTTTTTTTAGATTGATGAAAAATTTTACGCTAAAAATTAAATTATTAATAAATGAAGTAATTAACGTGATGATGTATTTATTAATATTTAAATTTATTTTAATTTTTTAATAAAAAACAAAAATATAAAAAAAAAAAAAAAAAGATTATTTACATTATACTAAAAGGTCATTATGGGAAAAAATGATGAATTAAACTCACAGCTTTATCAATTTTTACTTGAAACAAACTATTATCCAAAAGAGGCTCGCTACTTAATACGATGCCGTTATTAAATTCTGAAAAATTTCTTACGGCTGTTTGTTGATTATTTGTTAAAATCACCCTATCCCCGCATTTTTGATGGAAAGCGGCCATGTCTCCATTTATAAAACTGCTGCCAACAATTGAAATTACCCATTATTAATAAAAAAAAAAAACATACTTTAAAGTTTTGAATATATTTTTTATTACCATTCTATGCGATAAAGAAAAATTATAGAATGATGTTATTTGATCAATGATGGAAAGTTGTCAAGTTAAAAAATCTAAAATTAAATCAAAGCCTAAAAATTCAGTATATAATAATCATCAATTTAGAAAAAGAGCTCCTCCTAAACTTCCAAAACGTGAAAACGATATTTACGTTAACAATTCCACTCATCTTCAGGTAAAATATTTAATATTTCTTTGGTTATGAAACCAATTAAATAAATGATAAATTTAATGATGATTTTCAGTGTCAAATAACAAAGTGTCATAAACTCTTTCAAGAAGGTTTTTCCGAAATTGTTATTCACGGTTTAGGAGCTGCAGTGAACACTGCCATTAACATCGCATTAATTTTACAAGAAAAACTTTCACACACTGTAGATTTAGCTGTAAACACATCGACGGTGGAAATTATTGACGATTATCAACCGATTAACGATAATGAAAAATCCTTTTCTAAATCCAGATCGAATTCTGCCGTTCATGTGAGAGTTTATAGAAAACATAATTTTTAATAATTGGTCAGTCACTCTTCAATCGATTAATTTTAATTTTTATCAATACAAAGGATTCATTATCGATTATTTTATTTATGAAAGGTTACAATACAGTAGTATAATGTAATAATTTCAGGTTGACTCTATCCTGAACCAAGGGTCATGTTTTTTAGCCTGAGAGAAATATTGAGCTTTTTGGGAATATCAGTGTTTGAAATTTGGCTAAATGTCTTATCTTTGACAATTTTTACAATTTTATTGGCTTTCAAATTGGACGGATTAGTTTACTTTAAAGAACTCAATTGGTGGTCAATTTTCCTTCCATTATTTATCGCAGATGGATTGAACTGTTATTTTTGCATAATTGTCTTCATTCGAATGTATCTATGTGGTCAAATTAAAAACGGATTACTTTGTACAACTTGGAGTTTAAGCGTGCTTACATTGATTTTTGTGTTTAAGTTTTTACTGTGTCGTAAATTATCAGGTCAAAGTACTTTGGAATATTCAGAAGTTGTTAGTCCTATTTTTATATTACTTCAATTGTTTGTCGCAAGAGCTTGTCAAATGCATTGAAAAATTTTTTAAAAAAAAAAAAAAATGGAATCGGAAAAAACAAACGAAAGAAAAAGATACAGGCAAGAAGAAAAAAACAGCGAGTCTGATGATGATTATGTGCCTTATGTTCCTGTCAAGGAAAGAAAAAAGCAACAATTGGCCAAACTCGGGAGAGTGAATCAGATAAAACAAGATGAAGAACGTCAAAATAAAGGGAAATCGTCAAGTGAAAACGAATTGGACAATGATGATGATGATGGACAGGTATGTGTGAATCTTTTAATTTCCAAGACTCTGTTTCATATATTACCAACAAGAAAAAAATTTTAGGTGTGGGGTAGAAAGTGGAATATTTCATTACTTGACCAACACAACGAACTTAAAAAAATGGCCGAAGCCAAGAAAGAAAGTGCCATGGAAAAGCAATTGAAAGAAGAAGAAAAAATATTGGAAAGTGTCGCTGAAAAAAAAGCACTCATGGGAGTCGCAGAATTAGCCAAAGGTATCCAATATGCTGATCCTATAAAAACAAGGTATGGTAGATTCAATCGCAAAACTTCAAATGTTATGAAATTATAAAGTTATGAAAAAATGAATTTCATTCCTCCTCTTACAGCTGGACTGCACCCAAATGTATTTTAGCTTTGGGAGAAAAGAGACATAATAGAGTGAGAAACAAATTGAGAATTTTAGTCGAAGGAGAAGATATTCCACCGCCGATAAAAGATTTCAAAGGAATGAAATTTCCAGAACCTCTCCTCGTCGCATTACAAAAAAGGGGAATAATGAGACCGACTCCTATTCAAATCCAGGGCCTTCCCACCGTGTAATTAATTATTTAAAATTAATAAAAAAAAAATTATTTTTACCGTATTTTGATTTCGGAATAAATTTTCTTTTCTCAAGGTTATCTGGACGAGACATGATTGGCATCGCGTTTACCGGAAGCGGGAAAACATTAGTTTTCGTTCTTCCACTCATAATGTTTTGCCTGGAACAAGAAGTAAAATTACCATTTATTAAAAACGAAGGACCTTATGGCAAGTTATTTCCCCCCCCCCTTCGGCAAATCCAAATCGATTAAAAATCGAACATTCGTTTTTTCCAGGTTTGATAATATGTCCGTCCAGAGAATTAGCCAAACAAACTCACGATATTTTTCAATACTATTGTAAATCCCTACTTGAAAGCGGATTTCCCGAAATTCGTTGTTGCCTCGGGATAGGAGGCGTTCCCGTATCCGAAAGCTTGGAAGTCATAGCACGAGGCCTTCACATACTGGTCGCAACCCCTGGAAGGCTGATGGACATGCTGGATAAAAAATTAATAAGACTCGACGTGTGCAGATACCTTTGCATGGACGAAGCCGATAGAATGATCGACATGGGTTTCGAAGAAGACGTGAGAACGATATTTTCATTTTTCAAAGGACAACGTCAAACACTTTTATTTTCCGCGACGATGCCGAAAAAAATACAAAATTTCGCACGATCCGCTCTCGTCAAACCCATAACGATAAACGTCGGGAGAGCGGGAGCAGCATCGATGAACGTAATTCAAGAAGTCGAATACGTCAAACAAGAAGCCAAAGTCGTTTACCTTTTGGAATGCCTCCAAAAAACGGCTCCTCCGGTTTTGATATTCGCTGAAAAAAAACAAGATGTCGACGCGATACACGAATACCTTTTATTAAAAGGAGTCGAAGCTGTGGCCATTCACGGAGGAAAAGGTTTTGTCGAGTATTATTCATTTACTCTCTCGGTCTATCGCATATCCCCCGACACTCTTAACCATAGCAAAAAACAAATGTTTTCAGATCAAGAAGAACGATCTAGATCCGTGGAAGCGTTTCGAAGCGGTAAAAAAGACGTACTCGTTGCTACGGACGTGGCATCAAAAGGTTTAGATTTTCCAGACGTTCAACACGTCATAAATTACGACATGCCGGACGACGTAGAAAATTACGGTAGAAATTTAGAAAGAAAAAAAAATGGCATATTTAAATACATACGTAAATAAATTTTCCCTCGGGAATTAATTAATTTTCTCTCTTTGTCTTTTCACAGTTCATAGAATCGGTCGTACGGGAAGATCGGAAAAAACGGGAATAGCGACAACGTTCGTTAACAAAGCAAACGACGAATCCGTTTTATTAGATTTAAAACATTTACTAATGGAAGCAAATCAAAAAGTTCCATTGTTTTTAGCTAATTTGAAATCTGAAAATGAAAAATATTTAGATCTCGGAGGTGAGAATTCCAATAATAATAATAATAATAACAATAATACAAAAAATGGAGTTGAAATTTTAAATAAAACCTTAAACCAACGTTTAACAATTTTCTTTTTTCAGATGAAAGAGGTTGCAGTTATTGCGGTGGACTCGGACACAGGATAACAAATTGTCCAAAACTCGAAGCTGTTCAATCGAAAGCTGCCAGCAACATTGGAAGACGAGATTATTTGGCAAATAATTCTGCAGACTATTAAGAAAAAAAAAAAAAAAAAAAAAATAATAATAATAATAATAATAAATTTTTGACATATTCGACATCCCTGTCGTTCATTTTCTAAATGTAACAATAATAATAATAATAATACATTAATTAAGATTAAAATTTATAAAGATTTTTAATTTTTTTTTTTTTTTTTTGTACTTTTAATAATCGTAATAATCGTAATAATAATAATAATAATAATAATAATAATAATAATAATAATAATAATAATAATAATAATAATAATAATAATAATAATAACGGTAAAAAATAATATTAAAAAATAAAAATAATTAAAAACATCATTATTATTATTATTATTATTATTATTATTTCCTTTTTGGTTTTTTTTTTTCTATTTTTATACCAATTTAAAATTTATACATATAAATATACATTAAGATGTCGTAAAAAGAAATTTTTTTTTTTTTTACAATGAATAAATAATAATAATGATAATAATAATAATGATAAAATTTAATCGATAAAATGAGCAACTAAGGAAAAATAATAATAATAATAATAATAATAATAAAATGAAAAAAAAAAAAAATTAAATTTAAGTGAATTTTTTTTTTTATACTATAACTCAATTCTAATAACAGATTTTTTTTATAAAAAAAATTATACTACAAATAAAAAAAAAAAATTATTTTTTTTCTCATTCTCTTTCTCTCTCTCTTACTCTCTTCCCGTCTCTCTCTCTCTCTCTCTCTTTAACTCTCTTCTCCCCCCTCTCCCTTTTTCTCTTTTTCCCTCATCCCTTCTATCTTTCTTCCTCTTTCTTTCACTCATTCTCTAATAAAACAATTTTCTCTCTCTCTCTCTTTCTCTTTCTCATTTCACAACAACAATCAAATGCAATAATAATAATAATAATAAGAGAATAATAATAATAATAATAATAATAATAAGAGAATAATAATGATAAATAAAACAAATTTATTATTTTTCTTGGGGATTTACCTTCTTCTTTTTTTTTTTTTTTTTTTTATCGACACACATTTTACCTTCTTATCATTTAAAAACCACACGGGGGGAGGGGGGGGGGGAAAAAGAAAATTTTTACATTTCCTAATAATTGTAATATCGATTCGTTCGCACCCACCCACGCACGCATATTTCATATACTCGATTATTACGTATTTTTAATCATTTTAAAAACAAATATAATAATTAATTAATGATAGAAAATGAGAGAACGAGTAAACCAAAAAACCCAAAACAAAAAACAAAATTCTTTTTTCATCATCATGGCAAATCATTATTATTATTATTATTATATATATTTGTCCCAAGTGTGTGTGTGTGCGTGTGTGTGTTTGTGAAAGATTGTACTCATTCGAATCACAATATGCTTATATTCACATCCAAAAATATTCTCTCTCTCTCTCTTTCTCTCTTTCTTTCTCTTTCTCTCAACGTTGTTTTACATAAACGAGTTTTTACATTTTCTTAAAAAAAAAAAAAAAAAAAACAAAAAAAAAGCGTGAAGCATTTCGCTTGCATTTTATGCCCCGTACATAAAAAATAATAATAATAATAATAGTAATTATAATAATAATAATAATAATAAAAAAATGACGATTGCACGCTTTCGATAATTCATTTAAATTTTCCAAATCATTCGTTCGTATAATTTCCAGGCCTCTTTTCCACACATTTTACTACAATGATTCAATAAAAAAAAAAAAAAAAAGTCAACATAAAGATTCTGAGCATGTTTTTGAAAAACTAATAGAGACTAGAACCTTTCTTATTCTTTTACGTTTATTATAATTAATTTGACCTGAGTCTATGAACTGTCCATGCAGCCCGCCATCATCATCATCATCGTTGTTCAGGGGGTGTTATGTCACCCCATGTAAACCATTCCTAGCTTGCTGATGAAAGTTTTTGTTTTTTTTGCAAATGTAAACTCCATGGTAAACTAAATTCACTGAAATTGTCATATTGAAACAAACAAAACAAATATTAAAAGACATTTTTAAAGTTTGACTCTCAATTTTTTTCATTTGTAATCACAATTCTCACCTGGTTTCGAAAAAAGGTATTTCTAAACCGAATGCTAAAACGGGAAGTCCATCTTCGATTGATATTTCTTCAAGATCATCAATCGATGGGAAAAACGATGACAGAGGATGTTCTGATGATGATTGTGTGTTTTGATGTTTGTTTAATTTTTGTTTGAGCTTATCAACATGATTTTGTTCTCTTATTCTTTGAATGTCCCATCTGAAATTAAATAAATAATAATAATAATAATAATACTACAATAATTCATTGGCGGCGATTAAAAAAAATTGCAATAGTACCAACTAACCTTTTCCTTCTTCTTTCATCGATTTCAAGCCTTTGATGTCTTTTACTAAAAACATCATCACCCAAATTTTCTGTACCCTCCATGACATAACAGGGAGCAACTGGTTTTTCTCTCCATGTGGGTACTTGAACTTGTTCTTCTTCTTTAAAATTTTCCACTTCTCCAGTCGACCAGCAACTATCACTTTCACCGATTATTGTATAATAAGTGGAATCAGTCTTTAGTTTTAATATTTCTTTAATAGTTTTTTTATCAGTTTCACCATAACTTATTTCTGACATGACACCAGAGTTTTTTGTGTTCTTATCAGAACACAAACTAGTAGTTCTTTTCTTTTTATTACAAGAGGACACACTTTTCAAAGTTCCAGACCCGGTGCTAACTCTTCTCCTTTTACTCGAGTCACCTTCTTGACTATTTCTTTTATACACTTGCTTTCTCGAATTTAATATTTCCAATGTGTCTTTTCCAGGTTCAACTTCATCTTTTGCAGTAACCATAAGCGGTGACTTTTTATCCATGTCACTTTGTACTATTGTTGTGCTGTTTGAATTTACCTGAGATGCGATGCTTGCTTCAGACTTTTCAGTAGAACTTCCCTTATGTCTTTTAAGAGTGACTCTTCTTTCCATTCTTTCAAATCTTAATTTCAACTAAAATTTTAATAAATTTTTTTTCCAATAACTAATCAAAAATTACAAAACTTTTCTTTAAATTTATTATTTTACACAAATCAAAATTTTCAATTCTAGCCAAATAATAATTTGTCATCAAGGAAATAAATAATAAATTTAAAAATTATAATGAATAAAAATTATTTCTTTAAATGTGATTCAAATATTTCAAGTTCGAACACGAATAGAAAAAAAAAAAAAAAATAATTAAAATTAAATAAATAATAACAAATTTCAAGACATGTTTGAAATCATTATCGGTTGGAAGACAATGGCTTCTCTCAGTTTGAAATTTAAAAAAAAAAAATTCATTCATAAAATAATACGTATAATTAATTAATTAAAAAAAAAAAAAAGAAAAATAAGATAAAACAAAAAAAAAAAAAAATGACTACCGTTTCGTAATCTTGTTTCAATTCAGCTATTTGTTTATCCTTAGTGACAATTTGCTCTGATTGTTGTTGTATCAAATCTAAATTCAATAACAAAAGTTCTTTTAATTGTTTTGTTTCTGTATCCTTAAATTGATTACCACCGCAAGAAACATCATTAACACTCGCATACATGTGGTCAAAATCACACGAATATAATTTAGGGCATTTATCTTGATTAGAAGCGAAATCTTGATTTTTGTTTGGACGTGAATCCATTATGGAAACCATGTTGACATTCGCATTCCCGAAATCCCCACCACCGCCACCGCCGCCGCCGCCGCCACAATTGTTTTCACCGTTAATTATGGGTGATGTTTTAGACATTTTTTTTTTCCCCCCCCTTTTTTTATATTATCACATTTAATTGAGTTTTTTTTATTTTTTATCAATTTCCAACATTTTATTCACACGATAATAATTATTATGTAACGTGACGTAAAATATTATTCGATTAAATAATTGATCGATTTTTCCAATCCCATAAACTAAACGCTACGTCCTCCATATTGAATTTTATTTTATTTTATTTTATATTTTTTTTTTTTTTTTTTTTTTTTTAAACGAACTTTTGCTACGGTTCACGGCATCTACTTCTGTCGTACCGCAAATCACGACGACTACCGTCGGTCGTTTACCATTAAACAATACATTTTCTTTATTATTATTAATCTTTTTAACGTAAATCGCCAACGAAATCATTTATTTTCGTTTTTTTTTCTTTTTTTAAATATAAAATATAAAAACTTCTAAGTTACGTAATGAAACGTCATCAGTCGACGCACAAAATTAAAATAATTATCCGCGAAAAAAAAATTTATTATAGCCAAACGAGGAATTTTCCGACTTTTCTTTTTTTTTTATTTATTTACAAATTATTAAATTTTTTGGTAAATGCTTTACCGTGAGAAAGGACCCCTTCCCCTCCACCCCCCCCCCAAAAAAAAAAGAAAAATACAACAAATTAATTTTTTTAAATAAGCTTTATTTGCCGATTCCATAAGCAAAAAAAAAATCGTTTTTTTTATTCATTTTTTCATTTTTTTTTTTTGCAAAAAAACACGTACAATTAATAAATATATTTTTATATAATATATATAAATAATTATTTTAATACCGCATATATATATATATTAATATATTAATATAATAAAGATTAAAAAAAAAAAAAAAAAAAAAAAAAAAGTGATAAATTACTGTATAAACTCCATTTTTTTTTGGTACTTTTCTCCGTGCGAGAGACAGAGAGAGAGAGAGAGAGAGTGAAATAATAAAAAATAATTAAATAATAATAACAATAATAATAATAATAATAATAATAAATTAAATAATTAAAAAAATAAAAAATTCAGTCGAAACAAAAATCAAGTCTTATTTGTTTAAAAAAAAAAATAAAAATAAAAATTCAGGAACGTTTTTCATATATTAATAATAAATAAATAAATAAATAATACTGAGGGATTAAAACAAAATTGATTCAAAATTTAAAACTTTTCCGAGAGAGAGAGAGAGAGAGAGAAACAATAATCATTTCTCAACGTCACTGACGTCATTAAAATAATAATAATAATAATAATAATAATAATAGTTGTTTTTAAAACCCAATACCTGTCGATTAAAAGTAATAATAATAATAATAATAAAAATAATAAATAAAAAATAAAATAAAAATCTTCGGCCCACGCCCGGGAATGTTATTGTTGTTATTATTATTATTATTATTATAACTATTTTTTTTTTTAAACGAGTTTACGTGCGTGCAAAAAAAAATTTATTATTATTATTATTATCGAACTAAACGATTTGCACGTGCATAAGACAAAAAAAAAAAAAAAAGTTTTTATTATTACGAAAAATCAAACATCCTCCTCTCTCCCGTTTTCCGTCAATTTAATATATATATAAGAAAAGGGTAATCGATTAAATATCATAAGTTTTCATCATTATCCCCGTCATCATCATCATCATCATCATTTTTTATATTTCAAACCACGTATATCGCACGTGTGATTGAAAAAAAAAAAAAAAAAAAATTTAGTATTTCTATCATTTTCCCTTCCGTTAATTTAATTTAATTACGATTAACACAGCCATTGCTTTTTTCTTTAAAAAAAAACGAAAGGGAAATGAGTCGTTCCGTCATCATTATTATTATCATTATCGTCATCAATAATAATAATAATAATAATACTAACGTGTTGTTCAAAATGAGGTAAAAAAAAAAAAAAAAAAGAAACCGTAACGCGGATTTAATTACGATACCGTTCGAATTCGTATCATTCCATTCGATACAATCATCGTATACAACCGTTAATTTCGCTTCTTTTCTTTCAAATAATAATAATGATAATGATGACTTTACGCGAATTTTTTTTCGAATTAAAATAGTAGTAGTAATAATAATAATAATAATAATAATAATAATAATAATAGTAATTGATTAAATACTTTCTAATATCGAATGATTAATTGTTTTCCCCTTCCCACTTTCCTTTCTTTTCTTCCTTTCCCCTCCCTCTTCTCTCCCTTCTTCCCCCGTCGCTTTATAAATATCATTAAAAAAAAAAAAGTCTCTACGTTACAATAATAATAATAATAATAATAATAATAACAACATTAAAAATATCGCAGTCGAAAAAAAAAAAAATATATATATATATATATATATATATATATATATATATATGCGCGTTAATATAATATCTTATTACTTATTATCATTATTATCATTATTATTATTAATAATCACCGTAAGCTAAATGCAATATAAAAAATTCTTATATAGAATGTTCGGGGCACGAATCCGATCGATCTATCGATTGATTGATTTTATTCATCTATTTAAAACGTATGCTCCAAGCTTGTACGTACGCGCGAGTTATCATCATCATTATTATTAATTTTTTTTTTAAAATGAGTAATAAAAAGAGAGAGAGAGAGAGAGAGAGAGCTAGCGATTCGATTGCAAATAAGGCATCTTCTTAACAAGAATCAATAAATCGATCGATCGTTTTGTGTTTGCATCCCCGCATATTTTTCAATCGCAAATTTCAAAAGATCCCCGTGAATGATCCCTCCTGATCCCTTTTTACAAAATTTATTTATAAAATTTAACTTCGGTTTCGATGACGTCTTTAAGGAGTTCGTCGACTTCGCTCAGTGACTGACCTTCTTCGTATTCGTCTAAAAACTTTTCAACTTCTTCGAGACAATTCCTTTCCATGTCCTGAAGGAGACAAGTTACTTTATTGTTCGAATTCGACGTCGCTGTCCCGTGAAGGTTGTGCAATACGTGGCGACCATCGTTTTCATCCTATCGATGTGGAAAAATAAAAAAAAAATAAAAAAAAAAATGTTATTTCTTCATTTAATTGATTTTACCTTATGAAAACGTGACTTTCGACATGTTTCATTTATTTATTTATTTATTTATCATTTAACTTATCGCTTACAAAGTTCACCACGTGACAAAGTTAAAAGGTAAACAAAAGAGAGAGAAAGAGAGAGAGAGAGAGAAAATGTTACTACTCACAGTACTTTTAGAATATGATGATACTTTTACATTTGGTGTAAATATGAAGGGTTTATAAACGGAAACTGTGGTATCCGGTGTTGCCGTGAACCAATGACAACAAGGTTTCTTTTTCGAAAGAACCGATACCTACAAATAATAATAATAATAATAATAATTCAAATCGAATATTCTCAAAAATCACTCGAGAGTGGTATAATTTATTTCGCACAATTACTTTTGTGCGAGTAAATTCACCCCCCCCCACTTTCCCCCTCTTTACCTGACTTCCGGTCGTTTGCGAATCATTGCATATTTTTCCCTCTTTGTTTCTCAATATGTCAAACATGTCTTTCGCTTTAAAATTTTTATTTTCTGTTAATTTTTTCAAAAGTTCTCGTCCAGCAAGATACTTTTGGCACGATTTATCATCATCGTTACCATAAGCAGTTGAAAAATTAAATTCTCCCTGAGAAAAATTAAGTAATATTTGGTAATTAATGTCACTCTTGCCACCATTACAAAAAAAAAAAAAAATGAAGAAATGGGAGTAATATACAAAAAATTATAATAAAATTTACCTCTCCGTTCCAAAATCCTTTTTCCTTTGCAAAACTAATTACATTCGAAGATGATTTATCAAATTTTGTTTCTACGCTATAACAACCTGATATATTTCTATATCCCGTCGAAATTTTTTGAGCTACCCAATTTTTACCGCATGTTTCGAGAACCCATGCTTCGTTGGCATCGGCAATTAAAAATACATATTGATAAACTAAATCAGGCGATGATTCATGACTAAAACCATATTGTCCATATTCTTCGAGTAAATTCGTAATCACATCGACAGCCTCTTCTGATGTTTTGCTTCTTTCTAATGCCAACCTAAACAAATAAATAAATAAAAATGTAAACAATCAAGTTCGAATCTTTTTCTTTCGATCGCTTTTACAAAACATGGTACTGACATGCATTAACTTTCTGTAATCAGTTTTCTTTAATAATAAATAATAAAATTTATTTAGGTACCTCACTAAATCTGTTCCTAATAATGTTTTCGATTGTGTATCAGTTAATTTGCTCAAAGTAAGACCATTCCCAATAGCGACTCCCTGATCGTTGGCACCCATTTCACAACCCCACATCCATGCTGGTTTACTTAATATCACAGCATAGGTTTTATCAACTTGTTTCACCTCAACGTAAGTGCACTGAAATGAAAAATTTAGTAAAAAAATCAAGTTAATAACATAACAACGACATATTAACACGTTTTCTAATAATGATAATAATAATAAATGTCAAATTTCGAGTTTACCTTTAATGATTCGCCAGAAACGTATTGTTTAGATGGTTCGTAAACCAATTCTTGTACTTCTCCCTCTGGCCTATCTGAATTTTTACCAAATATAACGGATCCGTTACCCGTTAGGGGTGGTAACACGACAAAAGTGTTACAAAACCCTTGTTCCATCTTCATAACACTTGTCACAAAGGAATTTATCAATGAGAAGAGGTAGAGAGAGGTTTAAAAAAAAAAAAAAAAAAAAAAAAAAAAAATGAAACAATAAACCCAGATTCGCACCGCTGCACTTATTAGAATGTACGAATAAGAATTTTTATCCTCAGTTTATTGCCTTCCATTTCAACAATATTATATTCACAACGTTCTACCTAAACCAAATCCGTACCTAAATAACCGTTTCATCCATGTGGTGTGAATATGAACAACGTCAGAGTCTAGACTCTTCATCGATTTACCAAACCTAACGTAATATTGGCCCCATTAACACGCGCCGAACGTAAGTTCCGATAAACTTTTCATAATTACCTTATGGATTCGACGATCATTTTACGATTTTCCTTTCCCTCTGCAGCCACATTACTTTTACCTACTGCTATTTCAAAAGTTAGGTTATACAACCAACCAACCAACCAACCAACGACACCATAATTAAAATTTTCTTTCTGCTACAAATAAATAAATAAATAAAATTTATAAAATGTAAAAACAATAATAATAATAATAATAATAAAATACCATACATACACACATACAATAACGATATTTAAACAAAAAACCCATTATCGAAACGTGATGATGACGTAATTTTGCCGCCATTAAAATTTAAAAAAATAAACACGAGATAATACTTTAACTAAAATAGTAATAATAATAATAATAATGATAAGGAAAAACTCTTTCTAACGTAAAATAAACACGTTGAATTAGATAAGAAAAAAAAAAAACATACAAAAATGGCGGATTTTTCGAGCAAACAACAACAACAACAACAACAAACGATATACCTTTGAACGTTCGATTCCAACGTTAGGAAAAGGAAATTAAAAAAAAAAAAACAAAAAACGATCTGACAAAAAAAAAAAAAAACGAATTGCATTTAGTTTTACGGGTTGTTGTTGTTGTTGTTATTATCATCATCATCATCATCGACTTAGTTTTTTTACATATATTTTTTTTAAAATTATTTTTTCCTAATATTATTATTATTATTATTTTTTTGAAATGTTTTAAAAACAAAATATAATTGTATAGTGTTTTATATCTTATTGTAATTTTATGTAATAATAATAATAATAATAGTAATATAAATTATTATTATTATTATTATTATTAATCAAACGAGCGTTGTGTAAAAAAAAAAAAAAATAAAATAAAATAAAATAAAAAAATAATTCACGACGTTTGTAATGACGTAGCAGCGCGCAAAGTGATTACGTTGCTAAAAATTATATTAAGAACGAACACACAAACACACACAAGTCAACTTTTGGTTCGCCCATCGTTTCCGTGCGTGTAGAGGGTGTTCGTCGGTTGTGAGTGTGTGTTTTCAAATAAATTAATATTTTAAAAAAAAAATGGCTCTTTTTCGCGTTTCTGCAGCTAAATTAATTGAAACTCAGCAGGTATTTATTTTTTTTTATTTTATTATTATTATTATTATACATAATTATATTTTTCGGGGGGGTAGGGTGAGGGGCGGTTCGACGTGAAAATTTTTTTTTTTTTTTTTCTATCTGTCGTTCGGCTTCTTCTATTCCAGGGATAATTTATACCCATTATTATTATTATTATTATCAGTTTTTTTATTATTTATTTATTTATTCACGTGATCAATTGAATTTTTTTTTTTTTTATCATCCTAACTGCTTATTATTATTAATATTAATAATGATAATAATAATAAGAATTTTCCCAAAAATAAAAAGGTTCATGCACAATTTTTTTTAATACAATTATCAAACCTTATTATTATTATTATTAAGGGAGAAAATGTGTACCTAAAAAGGAAAATGTGTACCTAAAATCTAGGAAAATTTTTTCTTATGATTTCTTGTTTGTTTTTTTTTTTTTTTTTTTGTGAATTTAATTAAAATTTGTTAAAGAGGAAAAAATTTTGTGATTTTAGCTTAAATTATTATTATTATTATTTTGCTTTTATAATCAATTTTTTTTCACTAATGTGATGTTAAATTCAAGGCTGATTTTTTTTATATTATTGTCGATTTTGTCATTAATTCTCATGTAATAATAGCAGAAGATTTTTTTTTTTTTTTTTTGTTTTAAAAATGAAAATGTATGTGTGTGTCGAAGAAAAAAATTTTCAACTATTAAATCATATGGTTAATATCGATCAATAAATTCTATTTCATGTTTAATCATTGTTTTCAATATCGATTCAAGAAAATGTTCTGCTTGTGCATAAAACTAATCATTTAAAAAAATTGTGCATTGGTTTAAATTTTCAATATATCAAGATAAGTTTTTTTAATTTTATGGTATTCGAGCACAAAAACAATTTTTTTCATTTCGATTTTTCATTCGAGTTAAAATTCAATATCGAATAGTCCTGTTCTATTATGTTAATCCTTTCCCCCCTTCTCCCTCCCCACCCTCCTTTTTGACAATTATTTTAAGAAAGTATTATAAGAGCCATAATGAAAATATTAATAATAATAATAATAATAATAATAATAATAATAATTTTTTTTTCATAATGTTTTTCCTAAAATGTCGAGTTCAATGATAAACTGATATCTAGAAAACATTTAAAAAAAATTTTTTTATTTCTGACACAATTTTTTCAATCAGCTGATTTCTTTAAAAATTCAATCTCTCTCTCTCTCTCTCTCTCTATTTCTCTCTTTCTCTCTCTCTCTCTCTCTCTTTTTCTCTTTCTCTTCCTCCCTCTCTCTCTCTCTCTCTTTCTCTCTTCCTCTCTCTCTCTCTTCCTCTCTCGTTCTCTTTCGCTTTCTCTTCCTCCCTCTCTCTCTCTCTCTCTCTCCCTTTCTCTCTCTTCCTCCCTCTCTCTGTCTTTCTCTCTCTCTCTCTTTCTCTCTCTCTCTCTTTTTCTCTCTCTCTCTCTTTCTCTTTTTCTCTTTCTCTTCCTCCCTCTCTCTCTCTCTCTTTCTCTCTCTCACTCACACACAAATTTTTCAATTCGGTTATAACCTTAACATATTTTACATTTTCATACCGATATTGTAACAAAAATACAAAATTTTTTGGTTGTTGTTGTTGTTGTTGTTGTAGCTGTGATATTGTTTAATCATTATCACCTTTTGAATTTGTATTCGGGTTAACAAGTTTATAATTGATATGTGACATATTGTTAATTTTTTTTTTCATTCGACACAAGTACCTGATGTTGTTGTCATGTGTGTGTGTGTGTGTGCGTGCATAACCACGTGTTTAAAATATTTACATTATGATAATTTTATAAAATTAATTAAGTTTAATTTTCTAAAACTATCATTATCATTATTATCATTTTGTGTGACGTTTTGTTTTTAAATGACACTTTTCATGCCTTATTAGGTATTTAGGTATTAGGTATTATTCGCTTATAGTGGTGCCATTAGAAAACCGTTATTTATTATTATTATTATTATTATTTAAACTCAATCACAACCTTCGTTTCATTAACATGGTTTTTTTTTTTTTTTTTTGAATCGACCATGTGAGAATAAAAAGGAATTTCGACAAAGGTCAACAGGTAACCAACCTTCCAAGGTAGCCAAATGTTTTCGTTACGATATAATAATAATAATAATAATAATAATAATAATAATAATAATAATAATAATATTTTTAGAAAATTTTTATAAATAAAAAAAAATCGAAATATAATGATAATAATAATAATAATTTGGGGTTTTTTTTTTTTTTTTTCGTTGTCGTTATGGTTGTCGTGTTTGTCTTGTTTGTCGTGTTTGTCGTTGTTGTTGTTATTATTTAATATTCCTAACCATTATCTGTTTGTTTTTTTAAAAAAAAAATTTCGTGTAATAATTGATTTTTCAAGGTTTCGTACAAGGTACGTTTGTCAATTTTAAATGCCGTCAACTTATTTCTCGTTTTTTTTTTTTTTTTTTTTTTTTGTCAATATTAAAACGGGGTCGGATTAATTATCCCGAGAAAAAAAATAATAATGATAAAAAAAATAATAATTCTAGGTTTTTTTTTCCTTTTTAAATAAACGAAAGAAAATTTTTTAAAAGTTAAATGGGAGAACGGTATTTTTCCTTTTACCAAAAAAAAAAAAAAAAAAAAAAAAAAAAAAAATGGCAAAAGGTTTTTATCATTTAAAAATAAGAAATTTTTAACGTACAAAAATAAATTTGTTTTTTTTTTTTTTTCTTTTCTAAAAATTTCAGCCAATTTTTTTTTTTTTTTATTTAAATAGTCCTTGACCGATTGTAGGTTATGTAAATGTCTAAGTTCTGCGTGTTTCTAGGGTTATTAATTATTATTATTATTATTATTATTATTATTATTATTATTATTATTATTATTATTAATTCGCATCGTTATTATTATTATTATTATTATTATAATTGTTTTTTTTTTTGAATTTTTCTCGAGAAATTTTCCTATGAGAAATGGAAAAATAATAATAATAATAATAATAATAATAATAAATAGGAGCGAAGTTTTTAAATTCGTTAAACGTTCGATAAGAAAATCGACACGTTGCCGCCATTGTGTCGACTCGCGACTAATAATTTTCCGATACGAAATTTTAGAATAGGAAAAAGTGACGTGAAAATGAATTATTATTATTATTATTATTTCGTTTGGATGTTTTTGTATGTGATCGTCGAGAAGGTGTATTGAAAAATCATTCGGACCGAAAATTGTAGGTTATGTAAATGTCTAAGTTCTGCGTGTTTCTAGGGTTATTAATTATTATTATTATTATTATTATTATTATTATTATTATTATTATTGTTATTATTATTAATTCGCATCGTTATTATTATTATTATTATAATTGTTTTTTTTTTTGAATTTTTCTCGAGAAATTTTCCTATGAGAAATGGAAAAATAATAATAATAATAATAATAATAATAATAAGCCAACGGCCATAGCGTGCTGGTCACACCGGTTCCCGTACGATCACCGAAGTTAAGCAGCATCGGGCGTGGTGCAAACTTGGATGGGTGACCGTCTGAGAACGCCACGTGCTGTTGGCTTAAAAAGAGCAAAAAAATGAGAACAAGACAAAGTAAGAACCAAAAACAAAATCTTGTTCTACTGTCGACCTGAGGCAGCTCGACGAGAACGTGAATTTCACTGCTTCTGACCCTGGCCACTCCAAAGATGTTAGTCACCGGAGCCCAGTTCAGGAGACAAATCGTTCCCATCGAATAAGACGGACTCAGGAAGACCTTCAAGAATTGATGTGGTGCTATCTTATAATAAGTGGCACCACCGAAATTCGAGTATTTGTCCCTAAGGAATCGGGTAGAAACCTCGGATAAATACTTAAAAACTCCGACAAGTAGCCTTGTCGTGTTTAATGGTGGATAATAATAATAATAATAATAATAATAATAATAATAATAATAATAATAAATAGGAACGAAGTTTTTAAATTCGTTAAACGTTCGATAAGAAAATCGACACGTTGCCGCCATCGTGTCGACTCGCGACTAATAATTTTCCGATACGAAATTTTAGAATAGGAAAAAGTGACGTGAAAATGAATTATTATTATTATTATTATTATTATTTCGTTTGGATGTTTTTGTATGTGATCGTCGAGAAGGTGTATTGAAAAATCATTCGGACCGAAAAAAAAACCGTAATCGAATTTTCCAGATCGAATTTTGACGCTAATCCGATAATCTCAGATTATCCACCTCGCGGTAAATCCATTCCAAATCGTATCCTACTAACGTATCCAAAAATTATTATTATTATTATTAGGAAGTTGTCCAGGGTCATCAGAAATTGACCTGACTCACGAAATGAAAAAAAAAAAAACTTTCGATGATTTGACAACGTTTTACTTCCTGTAACAACTACTAAAAAATCACTACCGTCATTCCCTTCACTACTACTACTACTACTACTACTATTATTATTATTATTATTATTATTATTATTAATATTAATTTCGTCACGGTTTTCATTGACTGTCTAGTCATTTTTTGAAAAAATACGTCACGACGGACGCCATTTTCTTTTTATTTTATTTTTTACCGTTAATCCAATTTAACGACTCTCACATACGTTAAGACGAATGTTATTAGGAAGTCGTAAAAAAAAAACAAATTTTTTTTTTTTTTGTCATTTTCGATTGGCAACCTTGTCACTTTTTTTTTTTTTTAAAATAATAATAATAATAATAATAATAATAAACGATATTATATGTGAAAATAATAATAATAATAAGAATTCTTATCAAATCGAATCAACGAAGTGTCAAATGTTTTTCTTCATATGTACATTTTATTATCATTATAGTTTGGATGTTTTTCCAGGTTTTTCCAGGTTTTTCTGTTGTCGTCTTGTTTCCGAAGATTTCCGAATATTTTATATTCGTAACAATGACGTATCGAATACTATTTATTTATTTTATTTTATTTGACGTGTCAAAAAGGTTAAGCCATTTTTTTTTTTTTTTTTTTTTAAATACGATGTTAAGCCGTTTACGATTGCGTAGGCTTAGGGAAAAAAAAAACCGAAATAAATAAAAAAAAAATTATAATTTGTCTCTCGTGACGTCACACGCGAGAAATTAATTTTTTTTTTTTTTTTTCATTAACTCGCACGAGAATAACGTTTATCATCATTATTATCACCATCATTATTCTGATCGATTATTATTATTATTATTATTATTATTACTACCGTCGCGATCGATCAATTGTTGTTGTTGAGGATTTTTTGTTTGTTTCCCTTACGAACGGAGAATTTTGTTTTTTTTTTGGTAATTTGTCGGGAGCGGGAGCAACGGGAGAAAAATCTCTGATCCTCCTTTTTCCCTTTTTTCCCTCTTTCTTCCTTTTTTTTTTTTGGCAAGGAATAAAACTGTTACTTAAATGATGCATCCAGTTTAATTGCTGCAGTTATTATTACGCGTACGAAACAGACTTTGTTGTTGTTTGTTGTTGTGTTGTTGTTGTTGTTTGTTGTTGTTGTTGTTGTTGTTAATTGTTGCAAAAAGAATTTAAATTCTTTCTTAGCGCCCACCATATTGAAAAAAATAAAAAACCACAAAAAATAGCCAAAAAAAATAAAACGAACAGAATTAATTTAAAACGATAACGATAATGATAATGATAATGATATAAATGAATAATATTTGAAATGTTTTTAAAAAAAAAAAAAATAATAAACGGCGTAAAAATTTAAAATAAAATAAAATAAATTGATAAAAGTCGGCCTTTGCCAAGGTAATGAAAAAAATTTTCATTTTGAATCGTTTTTTTTTTTAATTTTATTCCGTTTCATTCTTTCACATTCAAGGTTCGATTTAATTTTTTTTTTTTTTTTTTTTTTTTACAACTCGATCCTCATTATTATTATTATCATCGTCATTTTAATAATAATAATAATAAACCAACAAAAACAACAACAACAACAGCAACAACAAATGTACGAAAAAAAAAACAGGAGCACATATGATGATGATGATGATTTGTCGTCGTCGTCATTTTTTAAAATTTTTATTGTCTTTCTCGAATAATTAAAGATTTAAACGACGACGACGATGATAATAATGATGGTAATGATAATGATGATGATGATGATGATGATGATGACGACCGTATGTACGTAGAACAGGCGCCGCTTTTTAACGAATTTATTTTCGAAAGTTATTTTCGAATGTTTTTTCGAAAAGGTGTTTATTTGATTCCTTGCCAATTTTTTTTTTCGTTTTAATCCCCGCTCCTGCTGCTGTTGCTGCTGCTGTTGCTCCTGCTCCTGCTCCCGCTCCTGTTGTCTGTTTTTTTTTTTTTTTTTTCTTTCAACGACGTCTGAAAAATATAGCGTGGGATATATATATATATATATATGTAGAGATTAATTACGTAAATTACGCGTTCCTCCGTTGTTTTCGTCTGAAAACGTTTTTTTTTTCGATTTCAAAACGAGATATCGTTTTTCATCTTCGATTTATTTCGATTTAATTTTTTTTTTCGTCGTGATTTCGTTTCCGGTAAATAATATTTATATATATATATATGATTTCGATTAGGAGAGCGAGACCGTGAATATCCGCGGCGTTTTATAAAAACCAGAATCGAAAAGACAGATAATCTCGATTTTCCGTCTCGCGACTCGCGAGAAAACTCGATCTCGATCGACCATCATTGGAAAAACGTTTTAAAGTTCACGTATATTACAAATCGACCTTGAATATCATTCATTCTTGAAACTTGAACTCGCGTTTCCCTGGATTTTTTTTCCTTTTTCTTTTTCCTTTTTCTCCAGGCTGAATGGAGTTTTCTATACCTTTATCTTATTTACATAATAACGGTTTTTTTTTTTGCCGAGACGGAATCGTTTGTATGACGTCATGAGTTTCACTTTTCGACCGGGTGAATCTTTTCTTGTTTTCCTTTGTCCTTGAACTTTGTTCCAGAATATTCTTTTCTTGCGATTGGTATTATGTCGGTCGGGGAAATTTTTTTTTTATTTTTGCTGTCGTTTTAAAAGAGAACAAACAAGGTCGCGGATGGATTTGTTGTTTATTGTTTGTTCTTCGATTTAAATGTATCTGTTTTTTTTTTTTCACACTCCCGAATTATATCATATGATTTAATGAATGACGTAATTGTTTTTGTTTTTCTCATTTCATATTATTCCGTTGTTGTTTTCTTTCTAATTATTATTATTATTATTATTATTGCAGATTATTAATTTGTTGATATTTTTTGTTATGTTTCAGGTGTTGCCTGCACTGTCTGTTATTTTTCGCAGTCGTACGGATGCCAGTTCAAATTTAAAAGAAGTTTTGGCGAGAAAAATTCCCGTCGAACAAGAAAGAGTTAAAAATTTTCGAAAAGAACATGGCAGTAAAAAAGTCGGTGACGTCACCGTCGATATGGTATGTTTTTCTTTATGAGATTTTAAAGCCTCCTCTTGATCGACGGGGTCGTTATAATTTTTTTTTTTTGTTTTTCTTTTCTCCCGTCACGGTTTCCGTATCCGTATTAGATGTACGGCGGAATGCGAGGTATAAAAGGTTTAGTATGCGAAACCTCCGTTTTGGATCCGGAAGAAGGAATCCGTTTTCGAGGTCTTTCCATACCGGAATGTCAAAAAGTTTTACCCAAAGCTCCAGGCGGAAACGAACCATTGCCCGAGGGTCTTTTTTGGTTGTTAATCACGGGTGATATTCCCACTCAAGCTCAGGTGACTATAAATGACGTTTCACACGTGACACGAATGGATTCGTTCGTGATTATTAATTTTTCTTTTTTGTGTGTGTGCGTATCAGGTTGACGCTTTGTCAAAAGAATGGGCAAACCGAGCGGGATTACCCTCACACGTGGTAAATTTGTTAAATAATTTTCCACACAATCTTCATCCTATGAGCCAATTGTGTTGCGCGGTCATGGCTCTTAATTCCGAGTCCAAATTCACCGAAGCTTATTCCCACGGAGTACACAAATCTAAATATTGGGAGGTTGGTTAAAAAAAAAAAAAAATCCATTCTTGACTTTTCTTGACTTTTCCGCTTTTCTTTTCTCTTCTTGCCATTTTAAAACGTTTTACTTTTTCTTAACAAGTACGTTTACGAAGATTCGATGGATCTCATAGCAAAATTGCCAGTGGTCGCAGCAACAATTTACAGAAACACATACAGAGACGGAAAAGGAGTCGGTGCCATAGATCCAAACAAAGACTGGTCCGCTAATTTCACGTCAATGTTAGGTTACACGGACGAACAGTTTGTAGAATTAATGAGGCTGTATTTGACTATTCACAGGTACGCATAAACCCCTAGATTTTCATTTACAACAGTCGAAATCCTTTTTTTTCAATAATAATAATAATAATAATAATAAATTTTCATTTTTCAAAGTGATCACGAGGGAGGAAACGTGAGTGCTCACACAACACATTTAGTCGGTTCGGCTCTATCAGATCCTTATTTATCTTTCGGAGCGGGTATGGCTGGTTTGGCTGGACCCCTTCACGGATTAGCAAATCAAGAAGTTTGTATATAAAAATTTTGATCTTTTTTCTCTCTCGCGGAATGAATGCATAATTTTCTCTCTCTCTCTTTTTCAGGTATTGATATTTTTAAATAAAGTTAAACAAGAATTAGGAGATAATTACACGGAAGAAAGTTTGAAAGAATTCATATGGAAAACTCTTAAATCTGGTCAAGTCGTTCCGGGATACGGACATGCCGTGCTCAGAAAAACCGATCCCAGGTATACGTGCCAAAGGGAATTCGCATTGAAACATCTTCCCGACGACCCCATGTTCAAGGTACGAATCTACGCGAAAAGGAACGACTACCCTTCCCTCCACCCACCCCCGAACGAGCGAATTCAAAATTGAATTTTTTTTTTTTTTTAAATTTTCAGTTGGTGTCAACAATATACAAAGTCGTGCCCCCTGTACTTATGGAAACCGGAAAAGTTAAAAATCCATGGCCTAACGTGGATGCTCATTCCGGTGTACTCCTTCAGTATTATGGAATGAAAGAAATGAACTATTACACCGTATTGTTCGGAGTCAGTAGAGCATTGGGAGTTTTAGCTTCTCTCGTCTGGGATAGAGCTTTGGGTCTACCAATCGAACGACCTAAATCCATGTCAACGGACGGACTCATGAAACTATTCAAGTAAAAATAATAATGATAATAATAATAATAATAATAATAATAAAAGATGACAAACAGGAGTAATTAGAAAAAAAAAAAAAAAAAAAACTCAAATCTAGCCTTGCGTTAGGACAATAACGTGATATTTACTCCTTCCCTCCCCAATTCGATTGCTTTGATTTTCTTTTCTTTTGTACGCAAACAAACAGGCAGACAAACACACTTACACTTACATACAAACAGGAAAACGTGGAAAATTGTGTCAGGAATTTCATATGTCCGGTACTTGTTCTAATCGAAACTCCCGCAAGTTATGAAAAAATCGAATCGCGAAAAAAAGAAAAGAAAAGAAAAAAATTCGTACCTTTTTTTTTTTACGGTAGCAGCCTAAGTCTTCAATATTATTCGTTTTGCTATTCCCCCTTTTCTCTCCCTCTCTCCCTCTTTCTCTCGTAAAAATCACGTAGATAGAATATATAGGCATTTCGTAAGAGAAGAAAACGGTTTTTTTTTTTTTTTCATTTGTAGCCGAAGAATGAATGCATGTCGCAAAAATTTCGTTCAGTTTTGAAATTTTTCTCTTCTGCAAATTCAGTATGAAAAATATTACAAACATATATACAAAAAATTAAAAAAAAAAAGTCGTTATAAAGTAAGGATCATTACGTAGGCATAGTGACGTCATTAATTTTCAGTTTTTAATACGTTTACACACGTACACACACACACACACATTTATATATACATATTTACATATGCATTTTACACGTACGTAAACAGTTTTTTTTTTTTTTTTTTGTATCAAATCATTTTGTTTTGTATAATTATTATTATTATTATCACTATTCTTTATTATTATTATTATTATTATTATTATTGTTTAAATTTGTACATTTTATTTGTAATTTTTTTTTTTTTTTCATCTATTTCATTTGTATAAAAAAAAAAAAAAAAAAAAAATAAGGAGAAAAAAAAAATTATAATAATAATAAGAGAAAAAGAAAAAAAAGAGAAAAAAAAACGTGAAATTGAAATAAAACGTCACATGATCCTCCCGTAAAAAAGGATTTATTATTATTATTATTATTATTATCATTATTATTGTTATTATTTATATAAATAACCTGTCAAAAGTATATCATCATCATCATCATCATCATTTTTTCCTTTTCCTTTTTTATCCAATAATCATTCGTGAAATAATTAAAATAACATCGTCGCGATGAATATCGATATATCGATCGATCGATCGATTTATCGTTTGTAATTTCAATTAAATTTTTTATTTTGATTCGAACCGTTAAAAAATTAATAACGACAAACTGACTCGGCGGCACTTTTATCGTTCGATTTCCACGAGCCAATAAGAAAAAAGATAATTTTTGTTGATTATCGGTAGTGCCAACTTTTGTTTTTAATAACGTTTTCGCGGGTTTTCTAATGGAATTGTTTACGTAACGTTTTTAATATCGAATTAAAACGGATTAAAATTTGTTTTTATTGTAAAGTTTCATTTGTTATTTTAATTATTCACCTATAGATTTTGTTTTAAATAAATAAATAAAAGAAGAAAAAAAGAAACATGATAGATGATAAATAATTCGATGATAAAATCTATATATTATAAAAATAACAATTTTTTGTCAATATGTAACATTCAATCATTTATGCGTGATATTATTATTATTATTATTTTTAATATATATCGAATAAATTCATTTAACTCGATAATAATAATAATACTAAATTATATATAATTATGATGATGATGATGATGATGATGATAATGTAATAGTAAGATGAAGCCCCAAAATACTTAAATCTAATTTATTTTCAGTCTTTTATGGATTCACGCATAAAAATTAATACGAGTGTCAGCTTCCACACGGAGGTAAGTTAACGATAAAAAAAACGTTGAGTTCCATCAAACAAGCGAATATTAAAAAAGTTAAATACATGAAAAGGCAAAGAATACCTATTTTACGATCTAATATGAAACGATTAAAGAAAAAGGATGCGTATAAAAAGGTAAGAGTCGTCAATAATGATATAGCCGTGTAACCTAAACCCCTTGAATTGATTTTAATTAAATGATTTCCCGATTGAGCAGGGAAAAATGTCGATTTTATTAGCCAAGGAAGGCCGAGACATAGAAGAATGTCGAATGTGTTGGAACCTATAGAACTGCTTATTCCCATACCTCCATGACCTGAAATTTTTTTTTTTTTTTTTTTTTTTTTTCAAAAAGAAAGAAAGAAAGAAAGAAAATCCTGTTTATGTTTTTTTTTTCTGATTGAAATGATTATTATGATTCGAAAATAATAATAATAATAATAATCTTACCTTGATTTGTAACTATGACGCTTGATGTCGCTTCTGGTATGCTCATTCCAGCCGCAAGAAAAGTCAAACCCATTACGGAATCAGGTATTGATAAGGTATCACCTTTAAAAAAAAAATTAAAAAATGAATGAAAATTCTATAAACGAAATTAATAAATTTTTTTTTTTTATACTCACCCACGACTGTTATCATCCAGGAAACGACGTATGAAGTTCCAGCAATCCAAACAATACACATGATAAACGTTATCGGCCATAATCTCTGTTTGTTTTTCCTTTTGCAATCTGGTATGGTGACGTATAAAACAAACGATATGGGAAATGAAAAAAAAAAGAAAAATTTCGATGCCAATCCTTCTGGTATGACGAATATCGTTTCTCCTGTAAATGAAATAATGATAATACTTTTTACATTACATTACATTTTTTATGACGTCATAGTTTTAACATCGACAGTTACCACAATTTTCATTCGATTCCGAATCCATTCCTCCTTCGTTTTTAAATAACGACGAATAAGTTTCGTTGACCTGAACGAACGATCCGACATCTTGTTCTTCTCTCCCATAGTAAACCTTCTTGTATTTTAACAATGGTATGCTTTCTTGAGTTATTTTTATTTCTCTATACGGTCTCCTCCCATTTATTCTCTTTCTCCAAAAATTTTTAACATAATTCGATATCGAATCGTTATGATACATGGCTGAAAATA